CTAACCCTAGCCCCAATCCATAGCCCCGCGCCCCTCGCTCCTCCCTCCCTCATCCTCACCCACCGCCGCTCCCTCCAACCACCTCCTCCTCCTTCCGATGGGTCGCCGGATCCGTCGGCCACCCCATGGACTTCGCCTGGAAAACGCGGGCGGTAGAGGAGGGTGGCGGGCGCCGACGTCGCAGTCGAGGGGGAGCAGGGCCAGTCGGCCGGAGCTGGAGGCCGGCGCTGGAGGAAGGAGCGGCGAGGAGAGAGGCGCCGGCCATCGGGGACCTCCTAGCCCTCTTCTCCTTGTCGCCATGGCAGGTGGAGCTCGAGCCATCGGTCAGCCTCTCCCTCCCCATGCGTAGGTACCCCCTGCTCCCCTCCTCCTTCCCTTGATTTATCTCTCTCTCCCCCACCCTATCTTCCCCCTTCCGTGTTGCCATGGCCCGTCGCTCCTTCGACCCCGGATCCCAGTGATGCTATCTCCTGTGCGCCGCCTCAATCCACCGCCCTCCCCCGCAGGCTCTTCCGCGCTGGCTTCCACGAGCTGGGTTGTTGCCTCCTCCCCTCCCGTGCACTATCTCAACTTTTCTCCACAAAAATGATGAAAGGCAGCGGCTCAATGCCTCCTTGGAACTCCACCCTGTTTAACTTCTTCCTCCTGATTCCTTCCACTCTAAATTAATTTAGGGTCTGGGTGTGTAGTTTTTATGGTGGGTGTGACGGATCTTGGGGAGGTGAGGAGGACAGAGGTGGGAGAAGGACTGCGAGTCTGGAGAATCTAGGCTGCACATATAAATCCTCTCCATCTTCCTCTCCCCTTTGACCCCTCCCCCCCAGTTCTCCAGTAATCTGATTTTGATTTCTTCTGTTTTCGTAAGAACAATGTGTGCAGATCTGTAAAAGAAGAGAAGAGGAAGAATCCCAAGGAAGAGTTTGGTGAAGAAGAATAAGGTGAATTCACCTCTGTCTCAAGCAAAGTCACATTTGTTCCTGCAATTTGATGTTATGATTTATTTTATCCTTGTTTAGATTTGTTTACATGAATGCCAACTACTTTATTTTACTTATATTCCAGTGACTTTTCTCATTTCTTTTTTGTTCGTGATCTGCTCTGCTTGTTTTGGCTCCTTTTAATTGATGCATTATTTTTGTCTATTAATGTGTACCCAGGTGACTATGTGAGTTGCATTGACAGAATCCATGTATTAAGTTGGGGCATTTTTGGCAGCTGCAGCAACCTGACAATTCATTTGTTCTCATACAAGGTAATTTACTTCCCCCCTTTATGTATCATGGATGGATATATGTGCTAGTTGGTTGTCATTACTGAAGCAAGAATTGTTGATGATGACTACCTTCGAGCAGGTTTTTATTGGTTTTTCTTTCTCCATTTTTTGTATGATGTATGGATGTTGTAGGATAAATGTGAATTAACAATACAACAGCTTCCAGAAGTATTTTACAACTTCAGAAATCCAGAATTATGGTTCTGATGTTAATGACCAGGATGATGCGATAGCCTCTTTTGATTCGTATCTATTTTTTCGATGCTTGAAAGATATACTTGCATCACTTGACTGGAATAATCTAACTTGCGTTTCTCTTTTTTTTTCATTTCCAAAGAATAATCTAACTTGCATTTCTCTTTTTTTTTTCATTTCCAGAGTACTTTGCTGCTAGCATAATTGTGGTCCATTTTCTACTCTACTTTTCCTTGATCTATATACATGATTGTCAATTTCCAACTTCTTAGTTACATAAAAAACAAACAAAATTCAATTTAGATTTGTCTGCTGTAGGCATTAAAAGATTCATCAGAGCCATCATTCTGAACATTGTTTAAAATGACACCCTATTGCCGTTGGTGCCAAGAACTTGTGATTTATGGCTTATGTCAATTCCATCTTTATAGATGCTTGTGAAGTACATGGGGAAGGCGCGCATGGTTGATGATTATGTTCTGGATTGGAGGCCGAAGCAAACTCCGTCAGGTTTCAGGTGCACGCCCTCTGTCTCTGTTTTCGTCTCTGTAGCTAAACTTGAGAATTGTACACTTTGGTATATAAAGTTAATCGCTGAGTTTACATGCAGTTATGAAAGTTAGAGCATATACATGCTTGATTTTACTTCCTTTAATACAGGGCATTCTATAATTACTAAGAACTGATTAGTTGAAGTGTGCCTCCCTATTTTGTCCAGATAATTACTTCAGGTTAGGCGGGAGAAATAAAAAGGGTAACCATAGATATATGGTGTAGCATCATGAGGTTCAGGTTCCTGCTGTTGATCAACCGTTGCTTCGGTCGAGGTGGGTTATGCTTGATTATGCTCTTTGTATTTTTGTTCATGGCCTACACTGGTGTTATCATCTATTCTGTTTCAAAAATTTCAATGGCTTAGTTTCATGTCCCAGTACCACTTGAAGTACAACTAAGTACCTTCTGACAGGGCAATAATGTATGTATTTACCTATGGTTATTGTTTCCTATAAGAAACATGATCATCTCACCTTGGTTTCCCCTGTATCTGACTTGGGACAGTTTTATGTGAGATTTGTTTTGCATTTTCTGTGTGTGTGGATGCTTAAGCTTAAGCTTTTGTTATTTGGTTCAGTTAGAGATTAAAGAAGACTGAAATTGAGTCGATGGTGTATATACTTGATATATATAAATGGTCAAAATAAGGAAGTGCTTTTATGAAAGTTAAATATGCAGTTGTCTTCCTGTTTGAATCTTCATTGGTGATTCCAAGTTTGTTGCTTTCCCCAAAAGTGGAGATTTGTAGTACCGACGGAACTTCAACCTATTCAGCATAGATCTTAAATTGACCAGACAATAGTATAATAATTTTTATTTACGGCCTTAGAATTGTATTGCCACAAAAAAATCAGATTTGAAATCGCAAAAAAGCAGGTTCTTATGCTCATAACAATCCAGGAGATGATTCTGTAGCTTAATGTTTGCTTAATCTTTTCCATCCTTAATTAGTTAAAGGTATTAATTTGGTGATAATTTAAGAATCTTCGGGTAGTAGAGATCATGTAGGTCATTTAGCTCCGCCCACCGGCCGCCGGAGATTAAAGAAGACTGAAATTGAGTCGATGGTGTATATACTTGATATATATAAATGGTCAAAATAAGGAAGTGCTTTTATGAAAGTTAAATATGCAGTTGTCTTCCTGTTTGAATCTTCATTGGTGATTCCAAGTTTGTTGCTTTCCCCAAAAGTGGAGATTTGTAGTACCGACAGAACTTCAACCTATTCAACATAGATCTTAAATTGACCAGACAATAGTATAATAATTTTTATTTACGGCCTTAGAATTGTATTGCCACAAAAAAAATCAGATTTGAAATCGCAAAAAAGCAGGTTCTTATGCTCATAACAATCCAGGAGACGATTCTGTAGCTTAATGTTTGCTTAATCTTTTCCATCCTTAATTAGTTAAAGGTATTAATTTGGTGATAATTTAAGAA